TTTTTTTTTTTTTTTTTTTTTTTACATTAACTGTAAAAAAGAAAGTATTTTTTTATAATATATACTATATGTTTTTTAATATTTTAATAATATATATTATGATTTGGAATGACTTTAGTGGGTTGGTTCCATTGATATGAAGCCAAATGAACAAGCTGATATGAATGTGATTGTAAATCCTGAAAACGATTGGCAAAAACAGGTAATTTTTTGTTACTTCCAAGACTATTACTAATTTATAAAAGTGATGTAATATACTATTAATATTAATTTACAAATTTAATTTTTTACTATATAGCAAATGGATATCGTGACCCAAATTAAAGATACATTGAAGGATGAGAAAGTTGATGGTATTATTTGTGTAGCTGGAGGATGGGCTGGTGGCAATGCAGCAAATAAAGATTTTGTGAAAAATAGTGATCTGATGTGGAAACAGAGTGTTTGGAGTTCTGTTATAGCTGCAAGTATTGCAGCTGAATACTTAAAAGAAGGGGGATTTCTTTCATTGACTGGTGCCAAGCCAGCATTAGAGGGAACACCAGGTTTTTCATTAAATTAAAAATGCAGTATTATGATGTACTTATTTATATTTGCTAAAATATCAATTCTACTTGATTAGGTATGATTGGTTATGGTATGGCAAAGGCTGCAGTTCATCAACTGACAAAGTCTTTGGCAGATAAAGATAGCGGTCTTCCTACCAATAGTCTGGTAGCCTGTATACTACCTATTACTTTGGACACACCAATGAACAGAAAGTGGATGTCCAAAGCTGATAAAAGTACATGGACTCCACTCGAATTTGTATCAGAGTAAGAAAAAAAAATTTTACCCTCTACATTAAATCAATATACCTCAGTAATGATATTTTATTAATTTATGTCTGTTTATAGTCTATTCTGGAAATGGTCTCAAAATCAAGATCGGCCTGCCAATGGTTCTCTTCTGCAACTCGTTACAAAGAACAATAAAACGGAATTGATCAAGGCTTAAACGTATTAAACGAATAATATTCTTGGGAACAAAAATATTGAAATATTCATGATAATATAATAATATATGTATTTTTTTTATTACCTGAGAAAAAGGTCATATATGTTTAGGGCAAGGCCTCTAAACAATCTTTTTTTTTTTTAATGAAACTAATTCGTTTCCATATGAGTATCTTCCTCCAAACACACATTCCAGTAAAAAATATTTTTATATATTATATATATAAATCGTTTAAAATTGTTTGAAAAAATTATTTTTATATTATATAATATATACTTATACTTATTTTTTATTTTATCAATGTAATATATATATATATATATATAGATATATATATATATATATATAGATATATATATATATATATATAGATATATATATATATATATATAGATATATATATATATATATATAGATATATATATATATATATATATATATATATATATATGTATACACACATATATACATATTGAAAGTTACAAAAAAGATTGAAATGATGCATCTCATGTATTGTCTCTTTGTAGATTTCTCATCCTATCATAATATAGATAATAGTTACAAAAC